CATTTTTCTTTATCTTCATTTAAAACATGTGTTTCTTGTAAACAAATTATATCACAATTGGTCTGTTTAACCCAATCAAAAACGATTTTTCGGTCACGTTTGTTTCTTAAGCCTCTACAATTTATTGAGCAAACTCTCATACAGACATTGGGTTGGATATTTATGTATTATACTTGTTTAGATACGAATTTTTGACTTTGAAGATTTTTTCGAGTTTTTTTCTGTGCTTGGGGGTGTAAAGTTTGGCGGTCTTTTTTTCATGTTACCTAACAGAGCGGAACAGAGTTCAACTATGGGATAAAGAATAGGTACATAATTGAATTACCACTCCAAAAATATTAAATATGAGGGTTTAAAGAAAGAATATTGAATATGAGATTCAAAAAGACAAGTGGCCTCATGTCTCACATTACCCAAACCCCAGATCCTCGATGTCATATATACTTGTATACTGTATATCAGTGTTATTTACTGGGAGGATTAAATATGGAGTGTATAGCAATGGTCAATACGATATTTCCAGATGGATATTTTTTCCCTAGAAGCGGAACCCAAACTCAGTCATGACATAGAAGCTAACTATTGCAATTAATAGAAATTTGTTGTTTTTTTATTATATTTTTGTGTTCTATATTTGAGATGAAATAATATGAGATTCATTTCTACAAGAGAATGGAATGAATGTGAACTTGTTTATTGAACTATACTCCTTTTCTGAATAAATAGAACAACATTTTATCCAAGCCAATTAAGAAAACCAAGGCCAATGAGTGTAATTTATGCCCAGTTAAACTAACACAATAACAACTTTTTGTCTAAACTCACTTATTATGTAAGAATGAATTGTATTACTGTTTACTGCATTAAATGTCAAGTATACAATCTGTATTTAATTTCAAATGCCTATCTCACTTATCAAAGGTATACAAGAAATGTTATTTTGAAACAAATTCAGCACAACCAAAACCATGTCCACATAACATGACAAATCCAAGATGGCTGCCACAATTTTAGATCCATGCACATGTGAAGAAGTTAGAAATACACATGGTCCACAAGTCCCATCCCAAATAAAATGGAAAGTTTAAGGTTTTCCCACATATCAACTCTATTCCTATATACATTCTATTTGTGGTAAGGCTTGTGATCTAGGTAAACTTAGCATGTTCATGTACCTCCTATCCTCTGAAGCTAAAAACAGAAATAGTTACTTCAATTGAGAAAAATGAATCTTATGGGCTCCATATACATTTTGAGTGGCTGTCCGGCTCAAGTTAGATACTACTGATAATCTGAGATTCAAAATTATGTCAAGTTTAGTCCTCAGCCTCTCATAACGGATAACTTCGAGGTAATTGTCTTGTTACTGCAAAAATCTCTATTTCTTCATCACAAATCTACCATCTTTTGCATCTGTCAAAACCCTTCATTTCATGTTAATTTTCAGACTTTTGCTTGTGCCATCATTAAATATATATATTCAACTTGTTATTCAGAATATTTTAAGAACTTTTCATGAATTTTTTTATTTTCACACTTTTGAAAAAATGACTAAGAGAATGGCCTCTTAATGACATGTCCCCTTTGTTATCATTAACCCATCTGTTTATTTGCATTGAAAACTTAGTGTATAACTATATAAACCAAAAGGAGGAATAACACTTAACACTTATATATGGGATAGTATATAATGTGTATAATTATAGAATATAATATAATTAGTTTTAAACAACATATGACGATATAAACTTCACTTATATGCAAAAATGCAAAAAATGTCATGTACTTTCTTTGAGGGCTGGAGATAACATGTGGTGAACCTCTTGTCAAGTTGTTACGATGGCTTTCATTTGTTGGTATGACACGGGCGCAATTTTGTGCTACCTCATTGGTTGGGTATCATCGGGCGACGGTAACACAATTTTCCGGGCGGATACTAATACAGACGCGCGATTTCTATTGGTTAAAATCAATCGCGGGAACAAAAAACATTCGCGCGGAAAACATGAATTATTCGTGCGATTGTTCGCGCGGTTCTGGCGGCGATACCGCGTCATATCAGTCGATCGACAATTTTACAGTTGCGCGATCATAATCAACCAATAGAAAGTGATAGTTTATTCGCGCGATTGTTTCTCAAATCTCAACTTCCCCCGACTTAAATTAACCATTCAAAACCATGTTTACAAAACTGTGCCACCATTTTGATTAGAAGTCCGAGATATCTGATTCAATCACTGAATCTTCTTATTCGTTGATCTTATGGCTAGTAGGGGTGCCTAATTGACGCAATTTATTAGAAGAGTCTTATTCCATTTGTTCAACTATTTATTCTGAAATACTACCAACATTTGAAAATACAATTATGTGGTTTAAAAATAGTAGGGTGAATTTAGTTTTGTAAATGTTCAACATTGTATAAATCAAGCATACACAGGGATTTGCAATCTGGATACCAATATCCACTGGATTGTTCAAGGTTTATAACACTTTTTGCAGAGAGTACTTATGGATGCGAATGTCTACAGAACATTCTCATACTCCAATTCATGTTATCATGTTAATATATGTTATTCATGTGTGTAATAGCAAACATCAGCAATGAATGTAAAGCAGTTCAAGGAGCTGTAGAAGACTGCTGGGATGATTTAATGGTGTCGAAGATAACAATATCGAAGACAGATGGCGTAGAATCTATTAAAGATAATTTTAATCTCCCTTTAATATCCCATTTATAACACAACTGAAATAATTTAATAAATTTTCTTTGGACCTTTTGTTCGGGGTGCTGAACTTGAAATTCCTTAGGTTAGTTCGAGGAAAGTTTCTAATGATGCATTAATGAACCCCGCTTAAGTCGTCCCTTGCAAAATATCAAAACCAAAACAACATAAATAGAATCATGTCTAACATTAAAAGAACAAAATATAAAATCAACATTCTGTCAACTTTTCTTTTAAATCACTTGATTGAAAAAACTTTAAATGTTTATCTTTACAATAAGTAACGACTAAGAATTCTGAGCATGAGTCGATTTAGAAAAGCTAAAGGGTAAAACAAATTAAACACTGCGTCAGTATGCGTTCTACTATCTGTTGCCTAAAAATTGTTCCGAAGTATTTATAAAACATCAAATACACATGCATTTTAAATTCACAATTACTGTATATACCTCCCGAAAAAGCGAAAATTAGATGTGAATAACAGACCTGTAATATACTAAGCAATCACTTTTAAACAGCATATGACGATATGGTTGTGTATCATCGGGCGACGGTAACACAATTTTCCGTGCGAATACTTATGCAGACGCGCGATTTCTATTGGTTAAAATCAATCGCGGGAATAAAATACATTCGCGCGGAAAACATGAATTCATCGGTTCTGGCGGCGATACCGAGTCATACAAACGTTTTCGTGCGCTGAGGTCTATATTACGATTCGAACATGACAACTCACCAAAATGTTTCGAATTTTCATTATGGTCTGCAATTACTACGGGTCCTTCAGAATCGTACTCGTGGTTTAATCGAGTCTTTCATTTTCAACTTTCACCGGTGATTTCAATTATATGTAACGTATAGCAGTGAAACAAATGTGATATATTTGCACCTATTGTATCTTTGAATCAAATGGAGTAAATACAGCCATGGTTCTTCCATATTTAAGATGTAAAACATCATTCTAATATTTAGAATGTGAATTTAGCGATTTGATAGTAAATATTGCATTAAGTACTCATTATTCTGCAAACATGAGTGCCTAGAACAACAACTATATCGGTTACAAACAATTCTGTGTTTTATCTATGTCTCATATTGAGAAATTCAATACATAAACAGGAATTTATTAACTTATCCCCTACATTCTCAGACATCTTCGGGTCTTTGCTCGGCGGTAGGTCGCGGGTAGAATTTCCCCTTGTGTTAACCCTCGCTCTGGTAAAAGATCTTCGAAGATAATGAGTACTTAAACATGAAGAAGCTTAAAATGAATGCTTTCCCCGAATTTCAGGTCCCCAATCTTGAGAAACATAGTCAGGTGCAGTTGCGACCTATATCTAGTGCGGCGACTTCGCCATTAATTTTGAAAATCTAACTTTCGCTAACCTTTTAAAACTGTTTTTAAGATATATTTGACCTTAATTCGAATTCCGAAATCGATTTAGAATTTATTTTCGAAATTCGAAGGCCAATTGAATGCTCGGATCTCAAATCAACTCCTTGCAACTCGAAGATGAGTTTTCGAAATTAGAGCAAAATAATATTACCTGAAATTTGGCAAACACTATTAGCATTCTTTCAGAAATCTGCATTTTACAGACTTTTTATTAATGACTATTCTATTCTATGCTATTACTATTTATTGAATTTTCACATGCCAGTGTCTTATAGGTCGATGACGGCCTGGGTTATTGTTGTTTTATGAAATTTTTGTGTATTTATATTAACCACGATACTTAAATAAAATAAATATAATTTAAAAAGATTCAAAAGAAGGGGGTCCTCTAAAGATATTCGATAACACACAACTCACAACACACAACCCAAAGGGAAGGTGCTTGATAATGTCTGTGAGCAAGTTGAGTGAGCGCAGCGAACGAGTCCAAGAATAGGGTTGTCTGTGGGTCCTCCTCCCGGAAAATATCGAAAATTGGACATCATTTGGTGCATTGAGAGCAATTTCAAAGCAAATAAAGGCATATTTCATGCATATTTCAAAGCAGTGAAATATTCTAATACCGCGTTGAATGAACGCAGCGAACAAGCGCACCAATAGGGAGGTCTGAGTGGATTCGGCTCCCAATAAATTTTGAAAATTGAGCATCATTTGGTGCATTCTGAAAAATTTTGAGGATATTTTATGTTTCAGAGCAGTTGGGAGGGGCGCGTCCCAGGCGACCCCTCCCTTTGGATCCGCCACCCGAATTTTTAGTTTTAACTTACATTTGATGATCAATTTGAGGTAAACGATATGCCGTTTTTGTTATCACATTTTAGCTTTTAAAAGTAATTAAAGAAATGGAAATGACACCAAAGGAATGTGCCACAGCAACATATCTGGCCCTCAAATACGCAAGAGAAGTTACCTTCAACGAACAGAACGGTGCTCGCAAAGGCAAGAAGGTAATGGTTTTTAATGGCGTATAACACCCTAGGGAATAAAATATTAACGTTTTCACGGTTTTGTCTGTGACTTTAAGACTGATTATAAATTGTTAATGTCAATGTTGTATTTTAGAAAGTGTTAATTGTCGTTACTGATGGAATGACCTATCCCGTGGATAAGAAAAATGAAACATTGAATATGGCTAGAGCCAACATAAGAGCGAACATAACATCATATGTAGTTGCATGCCCCAATTTAAAAGCAGGAGGATTGATTGGACACGACGAATGGAACAAAATCGCAACTGGCAATGATCCAGATCCAGTAGGCGTCATGGATCCAAATGTATTTGCACTTGATACTTTTGATCAACTCAGAGAAATCATCAATGAAATCGTCAACAAAGCTTGCATGACGATGTAAAAATGAAAATGACACTTGTGCAGTTGGATCTGAAGAAAATACGAAACTTGTTAACGTAACAAAAATTATTTGATGAAAGACGTTTTTGATGTTTTGTGTATCTCATTACAATATCGGACGTATTATTAAATAAATATTTTTCCGAGAGTAAACTCACATTTCCGTTTCTACATTGTCATTAACCATAATGGATACGTTACAATGAGTTCACGTATTGACAGTCCATTAGGCCTCTTGGAGCAAACGAAACATAGCCAACGAAATTTGAATGTTGTGTATCGACTTCATGAACAGGTGGGACTTCCATAATTTCATACCATCAAAAAGCACTTAGACATTTTTCGTAATTCTAAATCAAAATATACAATACGATATATAAACGCGTTGTCAAAACAAAACGGACGTTGCGCGCGCGATTGTCAAACATTTGCAGGGGTCAACATTTATATTCCAGATGTCCATTAACAACTAACTAATTACCCAAAGCTCCATGTGCAGTATGGCAAGTGATTTTAGACAGTCATATCTTTCACCATGAGTACTAAATCTATTTACTAAAAAGATCTCCTTTTCTGATTTTTATTGCATGAAAAGATTATTCAAAAAGGTATACAAAAGTATACAAACCATTTAGAATGACGGAAACCGCCCAGCAGGCCAGGGAAATAAGTTAAGAACATAAAGAACTTTCAAGCTGGATTTACAACCGGAATTCTACCTAGCATCTCATATTTCCATACGCGACCGGAAAGCATTAGCCTCTTTGAGATGTGGTGTTGCTCCGCTACGTTTGGAAACGGGGCGTTACGAACGACTGTCAATTCCAGAGACTGTGTTATTTTTGTGATGTTAATGCCATTGAAAATGAACACCATTTCCTGTTAAAATGTCCGTTTTATTCTACTATCAGAAATGATTTATTTTCTAAGGTTCAGAATAAAATTACAAACTTTCAAAGACTTACTGACGATGAGAAGTTCTATATCTTGATGTCAAGTCATGAGATTGTTGTTGATGTGGCAAAGGCCTGTGGCCAAATGTTTAAAAAAAGAGAACATAAACTGTACAGTTAATTCTGAGGAATATCATTTTATACATAGTGTCTTATAGGCCGAACACGGCCTGGGGTAAGAATATTGAATGTTTTTAATACGTTTGAATTTTATTACCTTGTATTTTAGCTACATGTTGTATTAATATTTGCTCAGGACACTTTAATAAATTTAACAAATACAAATACAAATAATGGTATTGAAAGTCTAGTTTTGAAGATATCAATTTTCGATGACCAAAATTATGCTGAAAACAATGGATATCATGAGTATTCCCAGTGGGAAAATAACATGGGATATGTGGTTTTTAACATTAACACATTTCAATACCAATCCCCTTTTCAGAAGTTGTTAATATATGTAGTGTAGGAGAAACTTTCGATATGGTTAAATCGAGAAAAACAAGATCCTCTTAAGCCTAACACGCTAAATAAAACAATGACACCATCGGAAGTATTCTTCTTTGTAATCAGTGCTTTAATAGTCAGTATACCGAGTTTAATCAATAAAAGATAATACAATGAATCACAAAATTCTGAAACGAGTACTATGGATTTGCTTTCGAAATACTGAACAGATTAACCTAGATAATAGCGACCCGTCTTCTTTGCCCAGCTGTTTGTGGGTTTTCAACATAACTCTACAATAATATAATAATAGTATAATGTAATTTAAAGATGAGTAATTTCATTCAGTTGTTGTATCGATGTTGCAGTTTGTAGTGCAGTAGGATTGGCATGAACGTGTTGAAAGTCAAATTGCATTGATTTTTCCAATATCTGTTTTATTAAGATTAATAAGATTTTTTCTGTGCTCTAGTACGGAAATATAAACGAATGTATCGTTTAAAAAATAGGTGTGAAAATCCCCATGTTAAACTTTGGGGGAAAACAAAGAAGTATTTTGTTCCTCCGCGAACTGCATCATGGGAAATATTTTGACCTTATAAGGAAAGATTTTCGCGTCTCCTCTTTTGAAGAGGGAACAACGATCTGCTCAATTGTACCCAAATGAAACAAGAATCACTCTTTTTCTCTTCATCAAATAAAATCTTTTCACATACTGAATTACAAAATTTTTCGTTAAAAACGTAAATTAGTATGATGTCTAGATATTCAAGTTTTCGTTAAAATTGTAAAATAATGTTAGAGCACATCGGTATGGCATCATTTATGTCTCAAAACCTTTTCGATACGATTTTCGAGTCTAAATCGTAAAATCGTATACGATTTTAGAAAAACTTTACTCGTTGTTGATAACGTGACTTTTATAAATCGTATACGACGCTTAAAGACGATGTGTATGGAATAAGAATTTATTTCGTGGGAATATTCCCGGTGTAGGTTAACAAATGCATGCATAAAACGCTGTTAATTGACGTGTAGTGTATATCTTGTATAATTCTAAACGTAGAATATTTTTGAAATTTCTATACGATTATATCGTGTAGATGTAGTACGGCTCACTATAGAAAGATGTCACTGTACGTACATAATAATTGAATCATTCTTTACAGGCCAGTTAATTATCGCTTTATAAATTAAAGGTACAGGGTGTCCCAGAGCTCATGGAAATTTATGAGAGGTGTAAGTTAAACGGTAGATTTACTTGTCAAACTGGTTAAACATGAATTGAGGAAAATGTTTCTAGGTGGTTTTCAGGCATGTATTAAACCTCCCAAAAGATTCTCATGAGTTCTGGGACACCCTGCATAATAGGTAAGATATATAGATAGCTGTGCCAATATATTCAATTTTTAACAATAACAATGTATTTGGAAGTCATGGATATTTTGACCAATGTGTTCGTCGGGGAATATATGATTAGTAACACATGACGACGTAACAGACAGAACCAGGTACTAAGAAGAGGCACGTGCATCGAAATAAATAGTCGAGTTTTCTTGCACCAAGATGAAGAAACATCAAACGCTCTCACTCTCTTTGTCCCAATAATTAGTCAGTGCATACAGAATGGGAGGGGTATTTTCAGACAGACAACAAGGGCGTTAAATGACACCCCATTGAATAAGAAAGAAATAATATTGGGATCATAATATTGCTTCACTGTGGGATCATAAGACTACATTTTGATGTGATTGGCCTGGACTGATCAGAAAATGAGCATGGAATGGAACAGTATAATAATGATTTAACACGCAAATCGATCTTAATATCAGAAAATATATATTTTGTTATATTCTTTAGTTCAACCCACACTTGTGAGTGTAGAATAGTACATATACATACAATAATAACATGGAATTCGAAGATGATCAGACGTTTAATAAATGACATCACAATAAAAGAACAAGGAAATCAATGTTTGAAATGATTCTTTATTTCCTTCAGTTTTGGAGAGAGCCATATTACAAAGAATATAACTACATTACACGTTGATTTTATGATTCATTGAATATATGACCTTTACTAATGCCCATTACTTCGTGATTTCAGTTATTACTCATCATGAAAAACCATGACATCTCAAATCTTCTCAGCCCTGAGATGATGTTTCAGGTGAAACAGAAAGATGCTATGAGTATCAGAATGGTTATTTGTGTTACTTCGGTATACCTGCTAGTTGCATAAATAATTTACAAAAAGATAATAGATTTATGTTGGCAAGAATAATATTATATGGCCATTTATTTCATTATAAGCTATAAATTGCTTTTCGATCATACAGGGCGTTAAATAAGTCTGTTCTCCCCCTTAACTTTTTAAATTTAGAAATAACACAGGGTTTTTATACACTGCTTTAAAGGGAATTTAATTTGCTGATCACACACCAAATTTCAGAGAGATTGGTTAAATTCCAAACTTTTAAGAGCATTTTTAGTGATGTTCCTATTTCACATTCTTAATAGTTAATATGTTTACCCAAAGCAGCTTGGACAGTCTCGATTCTACAAGGATATGATTCAAAAATGTTCACAAACAGGGGTGTTGCACTTTCAAAGTTTCTAAAAGCTTTCTTGATACATTTGAGCAATGTATCATGGCTATGAAGTTTCTCCTCTGGTTTAGCTTTTTCGACCCTGTCCTAAATAATCGCAGTATCAACTTTTCACCATTCGTTCATCATCCTGGTAATTTTACTCTTTTTGACGCAATCAATGGTCAACTACATCCTTTCAAGAAACATTGTTCTATTAGGAAGATTTCATTATTAATTTTCTAAGAGTGATCAGCAGTTTCAATAAGCTTTAAAATGTTATATGGAAAAGTATGATAACTTTAGAAATAAAAGAGTTAAGGGGGAGAACAGAATTATCTGACGCCCTGAATCATTAGATGTTTATCCTGCGTTCTCTATGTACTAGTGGCGACATCCTTTATTGGATCAAATCCCAATTTAAGAACACGACAACGAGTTATGTAATCGTATATATTGTATATAGAAAACCATCAAGATTATGTAAGCGTATACATAAAATTGGTTAGTCCAGCTACAAGCCCTTTTGACCCCCTAGACACACGAGTAACATAATAGTATGTGAAAAAATCGTCGACATTTTATAATCCTATACATAAAACTTCGTATAGTACACGATATCGAGTTATGCAATCGTACATAGAAAATCGTCGAAATTCTATAATCGTATACATAAAACTTCGTATAGTACACGATATCGAGTTATGCAATCGTATATAGAAAATCGTCGAAATTCTATAATCGTATACATAAAACTTCGTATAGTACACGATATCGAGTTATGCAATCGTATAAGAAAATCGTCGAAATTTTATAATCGTATACATAAAACTTCGAACAGTACACGATAACGAGTTACGTAATCGGATGTGGAAAATCGTCGACATTTTATAATATCGTATACATAAAACTTCGTATAGTACACGATATCGAGTTATGTAATCGTATATAGAAAATCGTCGACATTTTATAATCGTATACTAAAATCGTTGTATGAAATCTAATAGTGGCGACATCTTGTGAAATCGATAACATTGAAATCGATTTTATCCCTTCAATGGACATGTCAATCAAAGTTCATCTACATGATATGAGTTGATGATAGATATCGAAAAGTGCACACGATGAAG